ACCCTACCCCTACCCCCCACGATTTCTGAAGGGGAGGGTGGGGTTCACCTCGCTCGGAAGCTCTCGAACAAAGTGAACCCCACCCTCTCCCTCAGAAGTCGTGGGGGGTAGGGGTAGGGTTCGCATGTGGCCCCCTGATGTGGGTCAGAGTCCTCGAGGATGCTGTTTGGGGTCTCCGCGGGCCAGTTTGGGAGCCGCTTGGGGGCATCTGGGGAGCCTCTTGGGAGCTTTTTGGTTGCCTGCTGTGGTCTCCTGGGGGCCACGTCTTGGGGCCCCCTTGGAGCCTTTGCGGTGTCCATTGGGGGCCTCTTAGGGCCTCCTGGGGGCCTCTCGGGGCCGAGGGCTCGACATCTCCGTTGGTTTCCCTCGTCTGGGCTCCTTGGAGCCGTCTTTGGGGGCCTCTTGGGCCGTCTTGGACCCGTCTTGGGCAGTCGTCGGGTCCTTTCGGGCCGTTTCAGGACCCTCTCGGAGGCGTCTTTGGGCGATCGTGGGGGCCTCTTGGGCCGTTTTGGAGCGTAGGCGAGAACGCCGAAATCATTAAAGCACTTTTCAGGACAATCCCTTTTTATTGCTTGTGGCTCTCGTGGAAGTGCTCCTCCGTGCCTCTCGGGACGTCTTGCAAGGTTCTGGGGCCGTCTGGAGGCAGCCACAACGTGTTGAACCGATCGTTCGGGGATTCGGGGTCCTCTTGGTCGGTCTTGGTGGCATCTTGGGGGACTCCTGGCCCGCTTGGGTGTTTTTGACCACGGAACTATCCCTGGGGGGATGGCATTCTGACCCGGGCCCCCCAGCGACCACCCCGTGGAAGGGATGAAGGGGATCGGGCTCCCCTTCGGATCAGTTGCGACGCTGCTCGATTTCGCGCCGGCTGGCGCGCTTGAGGAGGGCCGATGAGAAAGGGGGGAAGAGCGGCGAACGACGAGTCAAACGGAACAGCCTCAACTGCCTCTTCGGTGAAGGTGGGGGAGCAGCGACGGCGGCGGCGACGGCGACGACGACGAGTCGAACGGAACAGCCTCTTCCACGCGCAGTGGATTTACCCGACCCTACGGTTTTTGAGTCGCCCCGTTCGGTGGTCGAATGGGTTCCGTCCAGAGCGCAGGTGGGCTAAGCCTGTTGAGGCCAAAGCTGAGCGTTCGTTGGCCTTCGGGGGGGGTAGTTTCTTCCTGGGCCGCATTGCGGCGAGGCGGATCACCTACGATCCACAGCCATGGCCTCGGCGTATCGCTTAAGCTCCATGGCCATGGCCTCCTCCGCTTCCTCCTCCTCCTGCTCCTCCTCCTCCGCCTCCTCCGCCTCCTCTGCCTCCTCCTCCTCCTCCTCCTTCGGCCCCTCCTTCTCCTCCTCCGCCTCCTCTTCCTCCCTGCCTCCCGCTATTCATCCCTCCCTCCCTCCCCCCTCTGCCTGCCGGGCGAGAGCCCAAGGGCCTCGGCTGCCCCCCGCCCCCCTCCACCGCCCGCATGCCCTGCGTCCAGGCGAAGCCTCCGCCAGCCTCGCCGAGCCCCGCGCGGCAGCTGCCCAGGCCTGGCCCCGTCCCGGGGCAGGAGGGGCCGCGAGGAGGAGGAGGCGGCGGAGGCGGAGGAGGAGCAGGACCCTGGAGGGAGAAGGAGGACGATGAGGAGGAGGAGGAGGAGGAGGAGGAGGAAGAGGAGGAGGAGGAGGAGGAGGAGGAGGAGGAGGAGGAGGAGGATGAGCATGAGCATGATGCTGATGATGTTGATGATACTGATGATGGTGATGGTGGTGATGCTGATGATGACGAGCATGCTGCTGCTGCTGATTATGCTGATGCTGACGATGATGCTGATGTTGACGAGTAGGACGAGGAGGATGAGGATGAAGGTGATGCTGATGCTGATGGTGATGCCGATGCTGACGAGGAGGCTGGGGATGACGATATTGAGGATGATGATGAGGATGATGCTGATGATGATGATGCTGCTGATGACGATGATGGTGATGATAATGATGATGATGATGATGATGATGATCGTGCTGATAATGCTGATGATGAGGATGAGGATTATGCCGGTGATGGGGGTGATGATGATAACGATGTTGATGTTGTTGATGCTGATGATGGTGATGGTGATGATCCTGATGATGATGATGATGATGCTGATGATGACGGTGACGGTGATGATGGTGATGGCGATGATGATGTTGCAGATGATGATGATGCTGATGTTGCTGATGCTGATGCTGCTGATGATGATGATGTTGATGATGATGTTAATGATGCTGATAATGATGATGATGATGATGATGATGATGATGATGATGATGATGATGATGATGATGATGATGATGCTGATGTTGATGCTGATGATGATGATGATGATGATGATGATGATGATGATGATGATGATGATGATGATGATGATGATGGTGATGGTGACGATGATGGTGATGCGGATGATATGATGAGGAGGAGGATGAGGAGGATGGGATGAGGCGGGCGAGGAGTAGGACTAGTGACGCGAACAGGAACATCGGGAGAACACGATGGTGCTTATGATACTGCTGCTGATGGGTAGGAGGAGGAAGAGGAGGAGGAGGAGGAGGAGGAGGAGGAGGCGGAGCAGGAGGAGGAAGTTCAAAAGGAGAAGAAGGAGGAGGATGAGGAGGAGGACCATGAAGAGGAGTACGTTGGGAGGGGGGAGTTGTGACATGAGGGGGATGATTATGATGATGAGGATGATGATGATGAGGAGGAGGAGGAGGAGGAGGAGGGGGAGGGGGAGGAGGAGGAGACAGGCGAGAGGGAGAAGGAGGTGAAGGCAGTGCAAGGTCCAGTCGAATCGAATTGGTCCGAAAGTGGTCTAGCAGCATCAAGGCACGGACGTGGGCAGAGAGAAATGCACCCGTGTGGGCGACGGAACATGACATGCAGAGTCGAGCTCAGAAGTCTTGCTGCTGGCCCTCAGCCTGCGAACGCCACTGCCTTGGGTCTCGAGGGGCGACGACGAGCCATGGCTTTCCAAATTGCGTAAGCGAACTTCTTCGCGCGTTATCGCCCCGACGACGTGCTCCAGCATGTGTGGCGGGCGGGCTCCCATTTGACACTCGTGGCGCCCAGCTGTCAGGTTTCGGTCCAAGCTGGCCGACGCAGCTGTATTGCACAGTGGAGGGTCATGCCAAGAAACACCCTGCTTCCCTTCAGTGTGCCGTGGGCTCCTCGGGCTTCGATGATTCTGCCATGGAAAACGTGACGTTCCCTTACCAAAAATCAGTGGACGTCCTGGGGTCTCAGGGTTAGGTTTCTCGTGGAAGGTCTCTTATGGTCGGGCCTTTCCTGTATGTGGCGGGCGGGCTCCAACTTGATACCCGGTGCGCCCAGCTGTCAGGTTTCGGTCCAAGCTTGCCGACGAAGCTGTACTGTAGGTGTGCCAGCCGCTACCGCCAGCCCTGATCAGTGTAAGCTCTAGGAGCCCCTGTTGACCATGTTGTTCACTCTGCGCACCGTAAAACGTAAGTTTTCGCTGTCAACCCGCACCCATCCCAGAATCAAACGCAGCATGCGTCCCTGAAGAAAGCCCGTCTGCCCCTTCTGGCGCGTCGTCAGGGCAAGCTTTGGCAAGCCAAGCAGTGCCTTAGGAGTCACGACTGAGCCGAGGAGCCGAGGCGGTGATGGATGGACATCTCCTTGCCTGTCAGAGTGCCACTGCGCTCATGGAACATTTGCCCCAGGCGGCCTGGAACGGAGGTGCCACTTTGGCGTCAGCACGCTGCTGCAAAGATCCCAGCAGTTCCCGCCCCAAGTCCGTAGTGGCCTGCGGCTCATCCCGCCATCGCGCCCGCGCTGGGGGTGCTCTCAGGGCTCCCTGTTGAGCTTCTGGGGGTGTGCTCTTGGACCGCCCAGGCAGGGAGCGATCTTGGGGCGACCCTGGGGCCCCCTTGGACTGTTTCGAAGGGCCTCTTGGGGGGAGGGTTTCCGGCAGGAGTGCCAGAGAGGGGAGGGGGGGGGTAGCGTCCGCAGCTCGAAGATTGTGGGGGGGCGAGAGGGGGGGGGGGTTCTGAAGACAGAGGGAGGGGTGAACTTGCAGAGGGCGCGGAGGGAAGGGAGGGCTTCCGGCTGGGGGGTCCAAGGGGCGGGGGGGGGGGCCCGATCTCGCGGGGCGATTCGGGGGGAGGGGGGAGCTTCGAACTGGAGAAGCCAGCTCGGGGGGGGAGGCGGGCAGCCTGCAAGAGCCGCAGTGGAAGACGGGGGGAGGGAGGAGGGGGGGGGGCTTGCGGCAGGGGTGACCGGTGGGGGGGGGGGGGTGGGGGGGGGGGGGGGGGGGCGGCGTCCAGAGCAAGAGAAGCTGGATGGGGGGGGGGGGGGGGGGCTGAAGGCCTCCGGCAGGGGAGCTCCAGGGGAGGGGTGGAGTAGGTAGGGGGACACCCCCCTGCGCTGTCTCGCGGTGGCGACGTTGTTCGTTTTGTTGTTTGTTGTTGTTGTTTCGTTCTTACGTGTGTATACATATATACGTATGTATACACACGTAGTTACGTGTGTGTCAGTGCGTGCACGGGAAGGTTGTGAGCGAAATGACTTGATGAGACAGGTCAGAAACGAACCAATCTAAATGGGGGACCCCTGGACTCCATAGCCTTTCTTCGGTTCGAGATGGCCCAGGTCCCAGCGGGCCACTGGGCTGTCCTCGCGCTGGGGCTTCTTCACATTTCCTCGCTCTTCTCGCCCGCGGGACCACGCCCATCGGCTGGGCTGCCGCCCTGCGCGCTGGAGGCCGTGTGCCCGCCCGCGTGGCTGCCGCCCGAGGACGGAGGAGACGCTTGTCCTCCTTGTCCCGAAGCGCCGCCTTGCGAGGCGACTCCCGCCGTCTGCCCGGCCCCCGAGCTGGCGCAGGCTCAGGCGGAACCTGAGGCGGACCCGCTCGGCGCCCTCGTGGCGGCGGTCCCTGGCGTGCTGGTGGCGCTGCTGTTGGAGGCGTACCGCGCCTTGCGAGGCTGCTGTGGCCGAAGGCCCAAGGCTGCGGAGGCCGTGATCGGAGGGCGCGATGGCGCTGCTCCCGCGAGACGAGGGGCTGGAGTGGTGGAGGCGGCTGCTGCCTGGCCAGCGGCTCGTCGCAAGATATAGTGACGACCAGGTGGATCACGAACGCGTGCTCCTCTACCCGAGCTTGCCGCCGGGCACCTGGGCCGCGTTGGCGCCTGACGGCGACGAGTACGAGGAGGACTACACGGGCGCGAGCCCGCAGACTGGGCCCGAGGGCGCGGCCCTGATGCCAGCAGGCGGAGACGCGCCCGAAGGCTGGCCGCGGCCGATCTACCGCTTTCGGACGGCCCTCTCGGTGGAGGAGCTCAAGGCGGCGATCGTGCGTGGCCGCGCGCTGGTGGAGGAGCGTCTGCCAGGGATCGCGCCCAGGCCGCCTGCGGAGGTAGCGTGCCCGGACGACAGGCTGGTGGAGTGGGCGGACTTCTTCGGCGAGGCGAGGCGGCCAGCGGTGCTGCGGCTGCGAGGGAAGCAGCCCCTTGCCCCGCTGGAGGGCGACCGCGTCCGGGTGGTGGCCGAGCCCACGGCGAGCGCGGCGGTGGGCACCACCGTGGATAGCTCCGACGACCGCTTCGTGCCGGCGACCGCGCTGGTGGGCCTCTTCATGTTCCCTGAGGGCCCGCGCCGCGTGGAGGCCCTGCTGGCGGGAGACCTCCCTGGCAATGCGGCGAGGCGGCGGCGCGATATGGGCCTCAGCGACTTCCCCGCCGCCGAGTCCGACCGCGAGGGAGTCGCCCCCGCTGGGATGGCGGACCTCCGCGAGCGCCTGGGCCGCTCTGTGGGCGCTGGAGGCGCTGCCAGGCCAAACAAGGTCGGCGGCACAGCGACCCCTCCGCATGGGGCCGGGGGCGGCGACGGCGGCGATCTTCGCATCTTGGAGGTGGACTACGACGCGCAGGGAGAGAGGTACAAGCCCTTCAGGACCGCCTGCCGAGAGAGTTCGCAAGAGACCTTCCCCGACCAGCCCATCGAGGGGCCAGCTTCGGCCTTGACGGTATGCAAGAACATGGAGCGTACGAGCGGCGACCCCAGATCCTGGCTGAGGGACTTCCTGAGGTCCAAGGGCATCGGCGACAATGACAGAGAGGCGCATGAGATGCGCGTTCTCTGCGACCTCCTCTTCTGGGCCGCGGTCTACGACCAAGTGAATCTAGGCGGCCTGATGTGCCTGGAGACGGCGGCGAGGAGGATCGCGGGGCTGGTGGCGGTGTACTCCGACCCGGCCAAGCCTGTGTGGGGCCGCGCCCGCCTGTGCACTGGCGCCGCGTCTTCGGACGACATCGCGGGTCAGGCCCTGCTGCAGTTCGCCACCAGGAAGATCAAGGAGCAACAGGGGGCCCACGCGGTGCTCTCGCATGGCAAGGGCCCGCAGCGCACCGAGGGCGACGGCACCACCGACGACGGCGGCAAGGGTCGGCCGGGGCGCCCGCCACCGAGGAACCCGAAGGGAGGCGCGGGGGGGGCTGACGCTCCCCCCAAGGGGCAATGATGGCCCCTACGGCCGGGGGAAACCCCGTCCCCGGCCGAGATTCAGGGGTGACGCGGGGTCGGCTTGCCGCCTCGCGCTGTGCCAGGGAGCTGCTCCCGCTGCCGCGCTGGCGCCTGCCTGAGCTGCCCGTGGCCGACTCCGTTCGGAGCATGGCCCTGCGGCGGCGCGAGAGGCTGGTGTTCAAGATGGGTAACGAGGCGGTGGATGCTCTGAACTGGCTTGCTGGTTTTCGGGACGGACTGGCCTACTTCGACCCCGACCCGATGCAGCTTGAAGTTTTGGAGCGGATATGCGAGTTAGCCTCGCGGCGGTACCCCGGTCCTGGCGCTCTCAGTGAAAGCGCGGCCGTCCGCCGGCTGCTACGTGGGCATGCACCGTGCGATGGGGCGGGATGCCTCGCCCGTGTCGCGCCTTTCAGAAAGGGCCTTGTTTCGTTACCCGAGACAGTGGAGGGCTGCCCGCCGTTTTAGGACGTGGCCCCTCCAGAGGTCCAGCGATTCCTGAAGGGGCATCCCGAGCGCATGCTGCGCGCTGACAGTCCCTTTTCTACCGTGACACCTTACTTCGACCCCGCGCTGAAGCGCAGCGCGAAGACCTACAGACAGTTCATCAGCGACCTGCGCCGACGCGGCTCGGTCGGCAGGACCGCGCGCCCGCGATGCCAGGTCGGCCTCTTCTTTGTCGAGAAGGACGGAGGTCAGCGGCTCAGGCTCATCCTTGACGCCAGGCCCGCGAACCTTCTATTCGAGCCGCCGCCGGGCGTCAGCCTCTTGAGCGCGGAGGGCCTCAGCCGAGTCGAGATCGCCCTGCCAGATGGCTTGGGCCCCTGGAGCGAGGAGGCGGAGCGGCTCCTCGGCAGCTACTCTTTGCACGTGGGCCTGGCCGACGTGAAGGACTGCTTCCACTGGTTGCGACTTCCTGGATGGCTCTCCGAGTACTTCTGCCTCCCCGTCGTGCCAGCGCACTTGCTTGGCGCGGAGGGCCAGATCTGGGAAGGCAGGACACTGGAGAGGCACGATCAGGTGAGTCCGTGCTGGGCCGTCTTCCCGATGGGCTTCACGCGGAGCTTGTGGGCTGCCCAGCGGATCAACGAGTACCAGGCGAGCTCCATCTGCCCGCAGCTGCGCGAGAGCCCCTTGACTGACCTTGGCAGGCCCCCCTTCTTCGGCCCCGGCGCCCCCAAGGGCCGCGTCTCGCACTGCGCGTGCGTCGACAACCCGGGCGCGGCCTCCACCGACGAGCCCATTGTCACCGATGCGATCGCGCAGCTGGTTGAGGGCTTCGACCAGCGCGGCCTCCTCCTCCGCGGCAGCTCCGTGGGCACCGAGGTCGAGGCGCTGGGCGCCGAGGTTTCGGGGGCCCTCTGGAAGACGAGAGTGGCGCAGAAGCGGTTCTGGCTCATTCGACAGGCCCTGAACGGCCTCCCGCGACGCCGCCGCTTCACGGGCTGGACGGTTGAGGCCCTGGTGGGCCACTGCGCGTATGCGGGATTGCTGAGCGGCACGTTGAGCGCATTCCACACAGTCTATTCTTTCATGCGGAAGTCTTATGCCGAACCTAGGATGCTGCGGCTCGGAGCCCGCCAGGAGTTCGAGGCGTTCCGAGGCCTCCTCATCTTCTTAGAGAGTGACTGGACGCTGCAGTGGAACGATCTGGTGGTAGCGACCGACAGCAGCCTGGAGGCAGGAGCTGTCTCGACCACCCGTTGGCCCCGATCGCTGGTGGCCGAGGTGGGTCGCGCGCAGGAGCGCGCCCGCTTTCGGGGGCCCGCGGCGGTCGAGACCGACGGCGCTGCTGGGGGCGCCCCTGCCGCCCGCCGCGTTGCGCGAGAGGCGGCGCTGGAGGCGGCCGGCTTCTGGCGCGACGCCGATGGCGAGCGGCGGCTGGCCGAGGGCGCGATCGACGACGACGAGCAGGCCGCTGCGTGGGAGGCAGGCCCGCCCTTCCCCGAGGTGCCCGCCGCGGGCTTGGCGAGTAGCCGCTGGCGCGCCAAGCAGGTGCAGCGCTGGCGATTCGAGGAGGGCATCCTTATTAAGGAGGCCCGAGCGCTGGTGATGGGCGTCCGTCGTATCGCCCAGTCTGTGTTCGGTGCCGCCTGCCGTCAGCTGATTTTGTCGGATAACATGTCAGTTGTATTATCTTTTTAACAGGAGTCGTGCGAAAGAGTTTGCTCTCCTCGTCCAGGTCCGCAGGTTTCAGGCCTACTGTCTCGCACGGAATCTGAAGGTGTCTGTGAGGTGGGTTCCGTCTGAGTTAGATCCCGCCGATTATGGGTCTCGTGTTTTTGATACGAAAGGGGCTAAGGAGTCTCTTGGTGCACTTCTTCCCGGTGCAATTTTTTCAGAGGAGTCCAGGTTCAAAGGTCCCCCCGAGGTTCGCGCTCCCTTCCATTTTTACCCGCCTGAGAATTATGTGCAGCGCCCGTTGCAGTGGGACCCTCAGAGAGCTCAGTTTGTTCTGCCCGAGTTGCCCGAGAAGTCCGACTGGTCTCTTGGTGCCCATGTTTGCTCTGAGCCTGTGTATTCGAGGTGCGGTCTGACGTCCTCGCATCCCGTTTCGGCTCAAACCTGTTTGCAGGCCCACTCTTTCGACGGGTCTTCGTCTTCGCATGCTGCGCCGAGGACTGCGGCGGGGGGGCCCGCCGCCTCCGCCTGGGGCTCCAGCGCGGCGACCGCGTCTGCTGGAGAGGGCCGCGTCGGCCGAGCCTGCAGCGCCGACCCCCCGACAGCTGGTGGCGCGAGAGTCGGGCAGCAGGACCCCCCGAGGGCTGCAGCGCCTGCCGAGGCCCACCGCGGCCCAGAGAGCGCAGGACTGGCAGGCCAGGTTGAGCTTGGCCGAGCTGCCGCCAGCGCCCAAACTGCCCGAGCACGAGCGCGACCTCCAAGCCCTCCCCCAGGACTGGTCACGCCCGATCGTGGCCGGCAGCGACGACGGCAGCATCACCTCCGACGATCAGCAGGTCGTGCCAGCCGGCGAGAGGCGCGAGAGGGAGCTGCTGAGAAAGGCAGCTCGGAGGCGACGCGCGTACGGCGCGGAGGCGTCACAGGACAGCACGGCGGCGGAGGGCCAGACGTTCCTGGGGAGGCGGTCGGTGTTCGGACCTGCGAGGAACCGCTACGCTCAGGAGCTGGAGGCCTTTCTGGTTTATTGCGATCAGGGCCCGCCGCGGGCCTGGACCACGGCCTCGGAAGTGGACGAGGCGATGGTCGACTACATGCACCACCTGTTCTTCGAAGGCCACGAGAGCGCCAAGGGCGATCAGGTGATGGCAGGCCCCATGCACAGGTTCCCGGAGTTCTCGAGGCAGGGCGCGGCCAAGACACCTCGGGCCTGGAGGTGCCTCCGAGGATGGCGCAAGCTGGCGCCCGGGCGGAGCCGCCGCGCATGGCCTTTGGCCCTCTGGCGCGGGCTCGCCTGGCGCATGGTGGTGCGAGGCGCGCTGCAGATGGCGGTGTTCCTGCTCGCGATGGTCTCCGGCTACTTCAGGCCCAGTCATCTGCTGACGCTGACGACAGGCAACATCATCGCGCCTGCGATGGGGGCGTGCGGTTGGCGGTCGCTGCTGCTGTTTCCAGACGACAAGCCCCAGAGAGGCAAGACAGGACTGTCGGACGTCGGGGTGATGTTGGACAGCGGGCGGTTTCAGTGTGCCATGCCCATCTTCCGAGAGCTCGCCCGAGGGGATCCCGAAGAAAAGGTGTGGGCGTTCAGTTACCCTGAGTTTCTGGCAGCGTTCAAGAAAGCGTTGAGCGACTTACAGATTCGAGAGCACATTGTCCCGTATCAAGCCAGGCACTCAGGGCCCAGTATAGACGACGCTTGACGATACAGAACGATCGAAGATATACAGAAAAGAGGCCAGTGGAAGCATGCCAAGTCAATGCAACGTTACGAGAAGGCGGCGAGGTTGGGTCAAAGCTGGTCTCTCCTGCCGTCCCAGCTGCAAGGTACTTTGACACAGTGCGAGCTACATCTAGAGGACATACTGCTCGGAAAAAAGATGCAGAGACAATTGCCCTGTGAGGCGGCACGGCCGCCAGCGTAAGTACATTCTTGATCTATTCTCGGGTTCGAACTCGATAGGTAAGGCTGCTGTGAAGCGAGGTTTCAACTACCGTGGTTTTTGACAGCCTCAATGGGCCCAAGGAGGACCTTACTAGACCAGTCGTGCTTGCGCGTGTTAGGGCCGCTATATCTAGGCATGAGGTGATAGCCGCGTCTCTTGGGCCTCCTTGTGCGTCTTGGGGAACTGCGGCTGATCGGGGTCGTCAGCCGGGTCGCTCGAAGGGGATTCCCTGGGGCCCCCCCGACGCCTCCGAGTACACGACTAGAAGAATCTCACAGGGAAACGCCACTTTTCGAGCCGCGTTGAAATTAATGAAGGCGCTTGCCCGCTCGCAGGTGCCCTTTGTTTTTGAGCATCCGATAAACAGTAGAGCCTGGCACGCGCCTGAACTGAGGTCTCTTATCGAGCGATGTCGCATGCATTCTCGAGTGTGTGATCAGTGTAAGTTTGGGGTCCGCTGGAGGAAGCGCACGCGATTATTGTTTTTCGGAGTGGGCCCCCAGGACACCTTGAAAGTCCAAAGGCGGTGCCACAGTTTTGGTGGTGCATGCTCGGCTTCAGGGAAGCCCCGCGCTACCCTGGAGGGCATGGCCCCCTCGGGGGCCACGTGGACATCTCTGGCAGCTTCGTATCCTCCGAAGCTGGCTGACTGCATTGTGAACTGTTTACTGTGCCGCCAGAGGGATCAAGAGGCGGCGTCCTTCCTTTAACCCGCCTCGCCCTCCCACAGAACCCTTCGGGATTGGGGGCTGTCAGTTGCGTCTCAGCTTCGCCAAGACGAGTGGCATGTGGTAGCGAAAACGCCCCCCACCGAATGTAGCAGTTAACCTATCAGCGCGTGCACGGGAAGGTTGTGAGCGAAATCGCTTGATGAGACAGGTCAGAAACGAACCAATCTAAATGAGGGGCCCCTGGACTCCATAGCCTTTCTTCGGTTCCCGCCCCCCCTTGTCTCCCTCTCTGATCTGTCGCCAGGCTGTCAGTTGCGTCTCAGCTTCGCCAAGACGAGTGGCATGTGGTAGCAAAAACGTTCCCCACCGAATGTAGCAGTTAACCTATACATATATATAGAGTGTATACACATGTTCGGTCCAATATAATTATTATATATATACACGTGTGTATACATATAATCATACATATACAACTAGCGTATATGTCGATCTATCTATCTGTCTGAGTGCATAGGCCCCCGCACGCCCCATGAACCCTTGTTTTTCTTTCAGAAGTTGGCAAGAGGAGGCGAGATGGGCGCCCGCGCGTTGGCACGAGGAGAGGGGGGGGGTTCAGGCGCGCGCGCCGGCTGGAGGTCTCGGAGTGGGCTGGTTCGCGTGGTGGATGCACAGAACGTCGAGTACTGGGTGTTGCGTTGTTGACAGAGGGAGGGAAGTGAAAGGGCGTGTTCAAGCTCAGGTTGGGGGGGAAGTCTGCTGAGTATTGGGTTCTGTCTTGGGGGCGGAGGCAGGTGAGTACTGGGCGTTTTGTTGTAGACGGAGGGAGTTGAATAGCCAGTAGTTTTCAAGTTCAGCTTGGGGGGAACCTGTCGAGTAGTGGATGGTGTGCGTGCGTGTGTTGGAGACGAAGGCTGGGCATCATAACCGCATATAGGAGTGCCATCACCGTTCTGCCCCCCCCCAGGGGCCCAGGGCCCCCTGAGGGGGCCAAGGGGGGCACGGCCCATGATGGGCCCATGTAGGCAAGGCCCCGAAGGGGGCCCCCGATGAGTTCAGGGGCCGTCGGGGGCGCCGCGGGTCGCGCGGCGATTGTGTATCATCGGCGCGGGGCTGAGGCCCAGTGACAGATATACAAGAGGAGGAGGAGGAGGAGGAGGAGGAGGGAAGGACGACGAGGGGAGGACGGGGAGGAGGGGGGGGATGATGGAGGGGGAGGAAGGCCATGAGGGGAGGGAGGATGGGGGGCCAGGAGGAGGCGTCCTCCGCCCGCCGCCGCCTCGCCGCCGCCGCGCCCGCCTCGTCCTCCACCTCCCGCCGCCGCCTCGCCTCGAGCCTCCTTCGCCGCCCGTGCCCGCCTCGCCCTCCGCCCGTGGCCTCGAGATGGTCGCGACCGCCGCCGCCGCTTCGGGCCAGTCCGCCTCGGCGGGCGCGGGCAGCGCGGCGGCGCCGAAGCGGAAGGCGGCGCCCATCAACCCCGACCCTCGAAAGCTCTCCACGTTGCTGGTGGGCAAGGCCCGCCCATGGCACCACCACCGCCACCCCCGCGCGCGCGGGGAGCAGGGCTCGCCTTGCCTGGGGCGCGGCGGCGCGCGCCCAGCGCGCGACCGCCGCGCCTGGGGTTCGGCGTACCCCGCCCCTTCCGTTCGCCCCCTCCCCCCTCCGCGCCCCCCCCCAGGACTACGAGACGCCGACGTTGGCCGACCAGGTGAAGCACAAGCAGTTGGGCCAGATCGCGGTGATCGCGCACAACTGCCTGAAGGCGGGGGCGGCCCTGGGCGGCGGGGCGACGAGGAGGATGAGGAGGAGGAGGGGGGCCATAGTAGAGAGGGGGAGGGGGAAGGCCGATGGGAGGGCGTAGCGGTAGATGAGGAGAAGAGGAAAATACGAAGATGAGGAGGAGGGGGAGGAGGAGGATAGATGAGTGGGAGTGGGAGGGAGTGGGAGTAGAGTGATGAGTGGCAGTAGAGCGAGGAGTGGGAGTAGAGCGAGGAGGGGGAGGGCGAGGCGCCGTCCGTGCCCGCCCATTTGGCCCTCCCCCTCCTCCCTACTCCTCCCCCCCCTATCTAAGATAGGGCGCCCCTTCCCCCCTCCCCTCCCATCCTCTATCCTCATCCTCGTCATCCTCACCTTCGTCTTCTCCTCTTCATCCTCATCTCGTACTCTTCATCCCTCCTCACTCTATTCCCGCGCCTCGCCCTCCCCCTCCTTTATCCTCCGCCCCCACCCTCCCCTTCCTCCTCCTCCTCGTCATCCTCATCCTCATCCTCGATGTCCCCCCTCCTCCTCACTCCCCCTACTTTTGTCCGACCCCCTATCCCCGTCCACGTCCACGTGCCTCTTATCTTATCCTCCTCCCTACCCTCACCTTCGTATTCCCCTCTTCGTCCTCTTCCTCCTGTGTCACCCCCCCCCCCCCCATTCGCAATGCCTCGCCCGCGACCCCTTCATCCTCCCCCATCCCGCCCAGCCCGTCGCAGGCCCCCGAGAAGATCGACGCGCTGGAGTCGCTCTCGAAGCGGCCCTTGGCTGAGATCATCGGGGGGGAGCAGAAGAAGGCCAAGAAGGCCGAGGCGGTGGCGGCCAACCTGAACACGGTCGGCAAGTTCACCAACGTCGAGTGTTTCTCGGACATCCCCAGCGCGTGGCTCTTCGCCGTCTACGGCAAGGCGCGCGGCCACGCGGTCCCGATCCCCGTCCAGCAGAAGATCTGCGCCAAGTCGAAGGTGCAGATGAACCATGCCAATCACTATCTTCTAGGATTGATCTGGTTCAGCGGTGCGCCGAAACGTCGGGCCATGGGTGAGCGCCGAGCGTCGCGGCGCGGGGGTGGAGGGCTGGGCGGGCAGTTGGGGCGACGGCGGCGACGGCGACGGCGACGAGTGCGGATCGGGCGGTTACGAGCCCCCCCCCCCCCGATGACGATGACGACGATGAGTAGGGGATCGACGACGATGGTTCGCGATGCGGGATGTGGCTCATCTCCCTCTTGATCATCTCCCTCATTTCCTCTAGTACCTCCTGTCTCTCTATCCTCCCTCACCTCACCCTCATTGTCCCCCTCCCGAGCCGCACTGACTGCGATTCCCGATCGCGGTCAGATCACTGCCCCTCCCCGTGCTCGCATCCCCCCCCATTCCCCCCCCCTGGTCGGCCGCGCCGCAGAGGAATTCCAGGGAACTTCAAGGTCGAGGGCGATCTCTTGTACAAGGACACCTGCTGCAGGTGGATCACCGACCTCATCAACGATAGGAAGCTCCTCGTGAAGGAGGGCGGCGCCGACTTCTTCGACCAGGCGATCGGCCCCGATGGCGTCGAGTTCAAGCCGCCGCACTGCATCTACCAGCACACCATCGAGAAGGAGGCCGTGCCGAAGGAGGGCGGCGACATGGAGGAGGCGGACGAGGATGAGGAGCCCACCATGGTTGACGTGGGGACGGGGCGGGGCGGGCAGGGGGGGGAGCTCGGCAATTCTAGAAGCTTCGCGTACCGCCGTCCGCCCACCCAGAAACGACGTCCAGGCGAGTTGAGATGATCAGGGAAGCGCGGGGGCAAAGAGGGGGGCCGCCGAATCGCGCGAAGGATGGAGTAGGAGAAGGATGAGGCTGGATGGATGAATGAAGGAGCGGGGTGAAGGAAGCTGCTCAGGGCGATGAATGGGATGATGATGTAGAGAATGAGCAGGAGGAGGAATGATGAGCAAGATGAGGAGGGCGATCGACGGGCAATATGCCTCCTGAGCGCCCGTCGGAGCCTCTTGGGATATCCCTTGGGCTCGCCTAGTGGGCCTCCTGGGACGTCATGGCGGCATCGGTCCTGAGGGGGGGGGGGGGGGGGGGGGGGGGGGGGGGGGGGGGGGGGGGTGGGGGGGGGGGGGGGGGTCTGGGGGGGGGGGGGGGGGCAATTTGGGTGCCTATTTGGGCAGTCTTGGGGCGTCGCGGGGCCTCCTGGGTGCCTCTTGGGGCCATCTTGGACGACGCCGACCAACGCCAGATGGGGGCCTCAAGTAGCACCCCCCCATCGGAAGCCACCAAAGTCGCTTCTTCGGGCGCCCT